TGTCAGAAATGTCTGATTTGCATTTGGCAGAGATGCAGCTCTGAGAGGAGGCTGAGTCAGGGGTCAGAGGGCGTGACCTCTGACCCCTGACTTCCATCAGAAGTCGCTCCTCTGTGGCCCTCTGATTTGTTTATAGTAGATGTCTTTGTTTGTTTGTCTAAAATGTAGTTGTTTGTTTTACAATTGATTATTTTAGGAATATTTACTGTAGAGGTTTAAATATTAAAAAAAAAAAATTGTTGATTTATCTAATTCTTTATTCATTTGTCTTATTCTTTTCAAGAGTTTTTTTAAACTAAAACATCCATTTATTTAACGCTTATTTATTCAATGTTTGACCATTTTTTTTATTGATTAATGTATTTGTACGGATTGTACAGTTTTTTAAAGTGCTCACTTTAAGGACTTGATTAATTTCTTGTTTTTTTGTCAAATTTTCTCAAATTTTTCTAAATATTTTTGTACTAAATTATACATTTGTAAAGTACTTTTTTCAAATTCAATTGAACTATTTTTATAAAAAATTTTATCCTGTTTTTTAAAAACAATCAAATTTTTTCAATTGATTCCTTTGTGTCGAATTTTTTCTAAATAAAAGTATTTTTACGACTGCAATCATTTGTTGATTTATTTTTTCATCTGTATTTATCTAATTTTTCTAAATCTTCTTTTTCTAAACAATTAATTTGTTCAATTTTTATTATATAATACATCTCTTTAAGATTTTTTTTAAATTTAGATTCCCATTTTTTGTAATCATTATCTTTTGTTTTTTTAATTGATTTTTTTTGTATATTTTTTTTTTTATGTGTTTAATATTCCAATTTGATTAATTGTTGATTCTTTTCTGTATTTATTATCTATCCGTTGCCTCCCTGTGGCTGTGCAGTCCAGAACTCCGGCGCTCGTCTTTGAATGCATCAATAACACAGACTTTAAGGTACCCCCCCCCCCCCGTCCCTATTATGGTCTGTCAGAAAGGGGCTCAGATCCTGACCAGACCTGTTTCACCTCTGCAGGAGTTGTACCAGAAGTTGACCGACTACGACATCCGTTTCTACATGTACGAACTACTGAAGGTGAGAGCCCCCCCCCCC